AACACGTGGCAGAGCTCAGAAGGAAGGAGGCGCCTGGTATGCTGGTACCTTTGGCAGCACTTGCCCCAACTCTTTGGGCGGGAGGCCTGCACTTCAAATTTTTCATCTTGCACTGGACCCACAGACCAGGGGAGCTTTAATCAGGGAGGAGTCTGTGGGCCTCAGCCTCTCCACAGGGCTGCCCCCCTGTAGCAGGCCTCTCCATAGCCACAACCCCTAAGGCATCACCCCTCAAGCCTCAGCCCCCCCAGCTTCTGTTCAAACAAAGTAGGGCTCTGGTTTCAGGGGATAGGCAAGTCAGACAGCTGGTGGTGTGGACAGATTCGCAAACCTGAGTCAAATCACTCTCTCTGCCCCAGGGGCCCCTAGGATTATAAAGCAACTTAACGCAGGGGGACGGCCAGCGGGCGACCCTCAAAGCCACGTCTACCCACAGAACATTCCCACACACCAGCTCTGGTCCAACAGAAAGTCACATGTCGTTGCTTTAGAAATCAGAGTTAGATTTTAAAATCTTAATAGAGGCTGTGTGCTTGGCCGTAGGTGATGTACGTGGAGGGTCCCTTAATTCCCCTAAGTTCACGTTGGATTCTCCAGGTGGATTCACGGCTCCCTCACTCACAGACTACAGCCCCACAGAGCCCTGTCCATCCTCCTCTGACCGCAGGGTCCCTCTCGTCCACGCATGGCTTCTGATGGTCAGGCCCTTTCTAAGAACCGAGATGTCTCTGCCCAGGATCGATGGCGTCTGGCCCGGGGTGAGCCAGGAATCTGTTCTACTTTCACCATCTCAAGGCAGAGAATTGGAGGAGGCGGCGCTGTCCCTCCCAGGATGAGCCCCCTTTCCCCATCAACAGGGGAGAGGTTACACTTTGAAGATTAAGCTCGTCATATTTAGAACCATGACATTTTGGATACAGGAATTTCTGGGAAAGTGCCGCATTTGGCTTAGACACGCTTAGATATTTGCCAAAGAAACCTAGAATTAAAATTCAGTTATTTTCAAATGAAAACTAGGGTTTTTTTTTTTTATTGTTATTGTTGTTTTGTGGTGTTGGGGATGGAACCCAGAGGTCTGCACATTCTGGGCAAGTGCTCCACTCCTGAGCTACATCTCTGGCCTGGTTTTAAAACTAATATCCATCTCTGTGCTTTCTATATGGGTGAACGCATACACACAGACACACACAAAAATATATTTTTAATGCATGTGAAACCAGGCCATAAAACAGCAATTTCCCTGTTCCTAAAACTGTTCAAGCTGTTTTTCAGCATGTAGGTGCAGAACCCTAGACCTGACCTAAAATGACCTCAAGAACCCAGCGGAAGCCAGGCAGGGTGGCGCACGCTGTAGTCCCAGCAACTCGGGCGGCCGACTCAGGAGGATTGCAAGTTCTAGGGCAGCCCCAGCAACTTGACAAGGCCCTAAGTAACTCAGTGAGACCCTGTCTCAAAATAAAAAATAAGAAAGGCTGGGGATGTGGCTCAGAGGTAGAGTGCCCCTGGGTTCAATCATCCCTGGTATTAAAAAAAAAAAAAAGTGCTAAAGTGAGTGAGCAGAAAGTGAGAAGAGAGCAGGGCCTTGGGCCCAGAGGAGGAGGACTCTGTCACATTTGCATGCTGACCAGAGGAACAGAGGCTGGAAACTTCACAAATGCAAAGTACACACTTCCTCCTGGACATACACCCCCCACCAAGACTCCTGGGACACCCCATCAGCCGGCCCCCAGCCCCCCTTACCCCAGCCCTCTTAAATTCCTTTGCTCCCAGCAGATCCAGGAGACAGATTTAAGTGGCCTCCTGTCCTTGTGGATCAATCTACAATAAAGCTGCTTCGTTTTGCTAAAATAGTGCCACAGTCTTGGCGTCTATGTGTGGTGGACAGCGAGACCTTGCCTGGCATGACTGCCTATGTGCATATTTAAACCTCCTTCGTCCTCACTTCACTGTGGGGAAAAATGAGAAAAGCATTCTGATCCTACTGTAGTGAAGGAAATGGCCACCGTCACTTGCCTTTTGACAGAGATGTGAAAACAGGTAGGGGAGAGGGAAGATTTCGAGGTGGAAGGATGGGCTTCGGGTGTCCCCCCAAAGCAGTGGGACTGCAGACGCTGTTGGCGGCTGACTAGTGGGGCATTCTATGTGAGGTTGCAGATGAACATTTGGCTTGCTCGGGTTGGCCTAAATTGGAAGTGGGGACAAAACTTAATGAAGCTGGGGTGCAGGTGGTGCACACATGTAATCCCAGAGGCTCAGGAGGCTGAGGCAGGAGGATCGTGAGTTCAAAGCCAGCCTCAGCAAAAGTGAGGTGCTAAGTAACTCAGTGAGACCCTGTCTGTAATAAAGTACTAAATAGGGCTGGGATGTGGCTCAGTGGTGGAGTGTCCCTGATTTCAATCCCCAATAACCACCCTCCACAAAAATAAATGAAGCTGTTAGTTATTAATTCAGTCCTGGCCATCTGGGGCAGATGATTGAAGAAGTTATTGTTTACCCTTCTAGAGCTCAAAGTCTGGCTTCCTACAAGTCTGGCTTCCAGAAGGCTGGTTTCTGAGTTGATTTTCTTGGCATGTTGCTACAGGTTATGAGTCAATTTTCTATTTTTTTATATACGCTCTGGCCATTGTTCACTTGTGTATTCATACATATTCAGGATCAATATGTAATAATTGGTCAAAAAGTCCATCCCTTCTCTTTGGAGGGTGAATCAGTCCACGTGAGAAGCATAAGAGTGACCTTCTGATGAGTAGCTGTTGTCTGCTTCGTGAGGCCTCAGACAACGTCACAGGACAAATCCACAGGATCACACATCATGAACACGCAGCTGCCCCCCACACAGACCCAGGCTTGTGTCTGACAGCAGTGTTGAAATGAAGCATTTCCAGACCTGGAGAGAAAACCTCCGTGACTCCTCTGGAGGCTACAGGCCGCTCCCTGTGCCTCCCGCTGCAGGCTCTGCCCTGGGTCTCACGAGGCAGAGCTACTGGATGAATTGTGATGGAGAACAGAAGATGATGGAAAGGCCAAGAGCGCTGGCTAGCGCAATTGAGAACCAGGCACGCTGGCCTCCTGGACGTATTAGGAGGACTAGCTCCACCAGGCGAGACTGCCCTGTGCAGTTGGTGAGGCAGACAGACCGCCCCCCCGCAGAGCTCTGTCTGATTTGGGGGTTTTTTTAGTTGTAGGTGGACACAATACATTTATTTTTATGTGGTGCGAGGATCGAACCCGGTGCCTCACCTGTGCTAGGCGAGCGCTCTACCACTGAGCCCCAGCCCCAGTTCTCTCTATCTGCTTTGATGGTGGGGATGGAGGGGCCACTCCTGAGCCTTTGGGATCGGCCCAGAGCTACAGAACAGCTCCATGTCCTCTGTACCAGGGCCTCTTGGGCTTCTCTCTGTGAATTCAATTTCTAACCAGGTGCTTCCAAGACCATCGCTTCAGTGTGGTACCAAATGTCAAAGGCAAGAAAGAGAGCGAGGATGTGAGGCCAGAAGACCCTGAGCCGTGACCAAATGCTGCAGGAGGGGAGTTGGCCCATCGTCCTTGTGCCCAGCTTCGTCACGGAGTCACCGTGACTCTGGGAGTGTGTTAAGCAGCCTTACGAGACCAAAATACCTGGCAAGGACTGAAGAGGAGGAAAACTTGACTTGGGCTTGTGGTTTCAGAGGCTCAGCAGCCCTGGGCGGGAAGGGAGGTGGGACATCATAGCAGAAGGGCACGGGGGAGGGGGGAGCCCTGCTCGGCTGGTGGGAGCCAGGAGGCAGAGAGTGCGAGGAGCCAGGACTAAATAGGTAATCCCCAAGGCAGGCGCCCAGTGACCCACTTCCTCCAGCCCTGCCCGGCTGCCTACAGTTAACAGTAATCCATTCAAACTATTCATCCATGACATGGATTAATCCACTGATTAGGTTAAGCTTTGATGATCTGATCACTTCACCTCTGAACATTCCTGCATTGCACAGGCACTTTGGGGGACACCTCATATCCAGGACGTAACAGGCAAACACAGATTCAATTTGGTCTGTGTCAGATTTCTTCCCGGCACAATGATTACTAAAATGCCAGCCCTTCTCCGTCCCTTAATGCCTGCTTGGACCAGCTCCTCTATGCCAGCCAGCTCCCCGCACTGAGATCTTCCACCAATATCGACAGAGGACAAACATGTAAACAAAGTGGGACTTTCAGCCAAGCACGGTGACGTACGCCTGTAATCCCAGTGGCTCAGGAGGCTGAGGCAGGAAGATCACAAGTTCAAAGCCAGCCTCAGCAACTTAGCGAAGCCCTAAGCAACTCAGCAAGACCCTGTTTTGAAATAAAATATAAAAAATGGCTGGCGATGTGGCTCAGTGGTTAAGCGCTCCTGGGTTCAATCCCTGGTACAAAAAAAAAACAAAAACAAAAAAGTAGTCTTTCTAGACTGGAAAAATCTGCAAAGGAAACACGATGATATTCAGGGTGCCCCTTTCACTCACCCCACTTCCTGAGTGAGAGCAGATCCTTTCACCCTACTGTCAAACTCAATTTCCCTGAGTCCACTACTCAGGGTCCTGGGGGGTCCTGGGAGCCCTCAGTGGCCTCTCTCCTCTGCCCTCTTGTCCTTAGGGTCAGTCCCCGCCCACCAGCTAGGCAAATCCTCTAAAAACACACTGTCTTATTCTGCTCAAAACTCCCACGGGTTTCCAACTGCCCCAGCCACCTGAATTCACTGCTTGGTGACTTCTGTCCAGGCTCGTGCCTGGAGGGTGGGCACGGTTTATTACTGTGCCACTTGTGCTTCCCAAAGGACGCTTGGAGATAGACACATCGATGCCCTGCCGCGGACGCTCTCCCCTCCGCCTGACCACTCCTTCCCCAGAGCCCCTGCCTCCCCTCATCTGCTCCCGCCTCTGCCTCCACCTTCCACAGCGCCTTTCATGACTGAGACCCTCCCCAAGTCCCAGCCTCCCTCTCCTCAGGGCTCTGCGTCCCTCACTCATGGTTCTCACAACTGCCATGTGTTTATTTTTCTTATTGATTTATTGTCCTCCTGCAGGCACGTTATTAGCATCTTGTTCACTGCTGTGTCCCTAAAGCAGTGCTTAGCACCTGCCCAAGTGCTGGAGTTTGGATCCCGTGTGTCCCCCAGAGTCCCATGTGGTGACAAAGGTTTGCTCCTCAGGGTGATGTTTTGGGGAGCTGGTGGGCCTCCTGGGAGGTCTTCAGGTCCCTGGGGGATGGCCTTTGAAGGGACTGTGGGACCCTGGACCTTCCTCTCCATCTCTTTTGCTTCCCAGCCACAGGTGAAGGATTTGGCTCTGCTGTGTCCCCTGCCATGACGTGCCAGCACAGGGCAGTCGATCATGGACTGAAAGCTCCAACCCTGTGAGCCAAGATAACCCTTTCCTCTCCTAAGTGGCTTCGCTCAGGTATTTGCCATAGCCGCACACCAGGACAGCAGCCACACACCTGGCTCTGGACAGGTGGTCAGGGAAGGCTCTCCCAGCAGCCAGCACTGAACTGAGGCTGGTCACAATTTCTAACAAATTACTGCAAATATAAGTGGATCAAACCAACACAAACTCATGTTTTGGAAGTCAGAAGGGGTCCCTTAGGGAGACCCAAAAAGGGACTCACTAAGCTAACACCAAGGAGGCTACACGGGAGACTCTTGTAGCTGGTTCTTCTAGCTTCTAGAGGTCACCCACAGCCCATGGCTTGTGGCATTCTTCATCTTCAAAGCCAGCAACTTAGTGAGACCCTGTCTCAAAATAAATAAATAATAAAAAACATAATATGAAATGGCGATTTTGCTAGGACTTTAGGCCACAGGACAGAGGAACCTTGGGAAGAAGAAGAAACATTGTATGCAGCCTATCACTTTTTCTTATCTTCTCTGGAAGTCTGTGACGCCCCCCCCCCAATAACCACCACTGCTGCATCCTGTCACTCAGATGGCCTTAGAACCCTCAGGAGGACACTGGCCAACCTGCATTTGAAAAAGCAAGTAGTGAGATCCCTGGGAGTTTGCAAGACATCCTCGAGGCCACAGCAGGCATGGGGTTAAAGGAGAATTCTGGGATCCTTCTCACACTTCTCTTTCAATCTAGCCTGGCTGAGCTCAGGTGGCACCAGGCCTTGGGAGGGCTTGTAGGTCAAGAGCTGCTGCACTGTGCAGCGAGCGCAGACTGCAATAACCAGGGATCCCCGGCTCCAGTTAGCTCAAGCCTAGAAAACGGCGTCAGCAACCAGTGCCCGCAGGACCGTGCCAAGGGGATGCGGGACGTGACTGCCCCCGGGATGCGAGGTGTGGGTAGGGGGGCGAGGGAAAGAATTCACCAGATGTTTAAACGGACGGCGTTCCTTCCGGACCGACTGTCTTGGTGGGTTCCTGCCTTTGAGTTCTGCTCAACTTGCAAATGAACTTGCACAAGGATAAATGCCCGCGCCGCGGAGCCGTGATTTCCTCGGCAGGTGGAAGCAGGAGCTGGGAGACCTGTGATAATCGCCCTCTGCGACGAGCACTCCTTCTTCCCGCTCATTACGGGCGGCAGCGCGGAGAGGAGAGCCCGGGCGCGCAGTGACAGAGACACTTGGAAACCTGCTGGGGGACGGCGCTCTGTCACCGGGAAAGACAATGGAATACATTAAAAATGTCTTATTTTCCCTTGTTCTGCCAAGCAGAAGCTTCGGAGCCCTTCGGGGAATTCACTTGACAAGGAAAAGAAAACGAAGACCGCGTCCCGCCCCGCCCTCGCCGCCAGGTGCGCCCCTCCGCCCCTGCGCCGGGGGACACCGCGGCTCCCGGCGGTGGCCTTGTTGAGAGGCCTCGTGGAACGCAGTTATTCTTTGCAGTGGCTGATTTCCCTTTCTGTTTTGAAGGCGCCTCTGTTTATTCCCATTGAACCCGGGCTCAGAGAACGGAGGCGAGTACAAAGCCGGGGAGCGCGGGTGCTGGCTCTTTGGTCCTCACAGCGCGGGTCCTGAAGGCTCGGTGTCACGACAGCTGGGCACAGCGACCCTCACTAATGCCGAAGGGTGGACCCCTGACTGTCTCCAGCATGAAGTTGCAAGGGAACGCCCATTTCTTATGCTTTAAAATATTTATCTTGCCAAAAAAGAAGTCACCAAAGAGTGACTTTAAACAGTGACTTTAGAGTTGAAGAGCTTGAATTGCTCGCTCTGAACTTATTAAACCACCAGGGCCATTCTGGTCAATGATCTGCAAACCAGCTGGGTCAGGAAACAAAGTCCAGCCCAGCGCACCAGGTGACAACAATGAGAGATAATTAGGCCATTTTGGCCCATGGGGGACCCGTGGGGGGGGGGAGAGGACTGTCTTGAATCGGGCCTGAATTAAGCAAAGTGTAATAACATAAAACTGTTTTAAATAGTCTCTTTACAACCCCTCCCCCATAGATATGAAGGATGGACAAGGGGACTTGTCACATGCTAGGCAGGCGCTCTCCTAGGAGTAATATCCCCTATTTTAAATTTTGAGACAGGGTCTTGCTTAGTTGCTAGGGCCTCACTTAGTTGCTGTGACTGGCCTTGAACTTGCAATCCTCCTGCCTCAGAATCCCAGATCACTGGGATTATAGTCATGAGACACTGAGCCCTTTGAAATGATGTTTTGACTCTTATTACTAATAACATTGAGGATCAAAGTGAATAATTTCAACTTCCCTCAATAGCCAGGAGGAAAAATTCTTCATTCATTAAAATTACAAAATAGTAGTAGGTGCACACAGTGGCTCAAGACTGTAATTCCAGTCTTTCTGGAGGCTGACACAGGAGGATCAAAAGTTGAGGCCCTGGGCTGGGAATGTGGCTCAATTGGTAGCGCGATCGCCTGGCATGCATGCGGCCCCGGTTCGATCCTCAGCACCACATACAAACAAAGATGTTGTGTCCGCCGAAAACTAAAAAATAAGTATTAAAATTCTCTCTCTCTCTCTTTAAAAAAAAAAAGTTGAGGTCCGCCTAGGCAGCACAGCCAGACCCTGTCTCAAACAAACAAACAAACAAATAAATAAAAGATTTATGAAAATCATCAAAGACTACTTAGGTGTCCTTTTATAACCAGATTATAAAGTTGTTTTTGCTTGTTTTTACAGTGCCGGGAATTGAACCCATAGCTCCACACATGCTAGGCGACTACTCAACAACTGAGCTACATCCCCAGCAACAGAACACAAAGTTCTTGGGCTGGGGCTGTGGCTCAGTGGCACAGCACTTGCCTAGCATGCATGAGGCTCTGGGTTCAGTCCTCAGCACCACATAAAAATAAACAAATAAAATAAATGGATTCTGTCCCTCTATGACTACAAAAATTAAAAATAAAAAGAAGAACAGTTTCCAGAAAAATTATTTCAACCATCTACTAATTCTCCTTAATAGCTTGGAGTTTCTCAAGATGTTTGAGTCTGGACCTAATTTGTGCTACTCATAGTTCTGCCATTTGCTAATCAATCTGAATTTAGATTCTCACAATACTGAGCTTCCCACTAGGTCATGAATATCTGCTAAGCACCTTTGAGAAAAGATCATGAGTCCATGGCAGGATGTACAATAGACGGCCTACGTGGGGAATATGTGCATGTGAGGTTTTTTTTTTTTAATTAAAAAAATTCACATGCAAAAGAGACATTTTCCAGAACGCTTGTGCCTAATAATTGTATAATTACAGGAGAGGCAGGCCAAACTGTTGGAAATGGTTGCCTTTGAAATACATTTTGGATGGAGTTTATGGGATCAATCACATCTTGATAATCAGGTATTTTTTTTAATCAGGTTGTGGCTTTGGTTTCTTTTAAGCTCTGTTTGCAAAGTTCTTTGTCAGCACCCATTTTATAAATCAAACACCTGGAGCTCAGAGGCCCCACAATGAGCCAGGGGTAGAACTGACTGAAAACAGGAGCTGTCCTTTCTCTGTAGCCTCAGTGCCTTAGCCCTCCTCGGCTCCACGCCCACCCACTCATCTATTTGTGGGACCCAGTATTTCCAATAATCGTAGAACTGAACAATTCATGTCTAAATGCAAAGTTTATTTAAAAGGATGCCTGAGGTTCCCATAAGTTTTCCCCAAAGCCTTATTCAGTATATAATAAATGTTGACATTGTGTTCACTTTCCATTCCTGCAACAAATGGGAATTATTGCCCATGAATTGATTTACACTGGATGCTGGTATCATTGTATCACCTAATCATAGATGAAATCAAGAAGACAGCAGGCACGGTCTAGATGACGACCCTACCGTTGAAATCAGGAGACACGGACAAATCATTGAATTTCTCTAGGCCTCAATTTCTTGCTCCATGAGGTTAAGGGTTCAACCCACACCAGGGTCCATGACCTGGCCTTTCTGCCTGCATTCTGGGCACCACATCTCTCCCAGGCTGGCAGCACCACACAGTTGACACTGTAACGCTTGCCATGGTCAAGTTCACGCAGTGACAGAGAAGCAGGTGCCAGCGTGTGTGCCTCTGCCTGAAGACAGATCCTTCCAAGCAAGGAGGGTAGCAGAGGTCTTAGGAGCAGTGCCATTGGCCCGACTTTGGGAATTGCTTTCCAACACAGAGTTTGAGAAGTTCTCTGCCTTGGATTTAAGCTTCTAGAAGCCACCAAAAATGCATGCTATCTTAGGAGCACCATATGATGAGTTTTAATAAGTGCATATACTTATGACACCAGCCCAGGGAGAATCAATACCGACAAATTTTCATCTTCAGGAGGTGAATTTTATTTCTGGAAATATGCAAAAGTTATAACCAGTCTGATAAATAGAGACTTGAAAAAAATTAAGGAATATCATTTAGGACTAAAAGCAAAACAAAACTCAAATATAGCAAACAAAGTAATGACGTTGTTGTGTAGCTCTGACTTCCTCCGAGGATTCTTCGTAAGAGAAGTTCTGAAACTATTTCTCAGTCAATGATCATAGCACCCAATGTAAATATTCTAAAAGTCACTTCTTTCCCTAAAATATATTTTCTTTATTTAAACATATTACATATAATTTATGAGCGCATTCAATATGTTTAAGCAGGGATGTGGAAAATATTTTTCTAAAAGGGTATCCATTGCCTAATAAATACTTTCTAAAAATCACATTTAAGCATAAAAATTACATTGTTTATTTCATTGGGGAAAATATGTCGTTCATATTTCCACATACTTCTATCTAGTACTTGTCCTTGAGACATCTATCTGAACCAATTCACTGAACATTCACTGAAGTCCAAACCTCCAGGCTTGTAACACAGTCCTCTGTGACACCAAGGAGAGTCATTGTAATGCTTCCTTTTGTTCTCCCCCCCCCCCACCAACTTGGATACCAGGGGCACTTAGCCACTGAATCATATCACCCCAGCCCTTTTTCTTTCTTTCTTTTTTTTTGGGGGGGGGGTTGGGGGGAGGCTCCACTGGGTATTCTTATTTTGAGGCAAGATCTCACTAAATTGCTGAGGCTGGCCTTGAACTTGCGATCCTCCTACCTCAGCCTCCTGAGCTGCTGGGATTATAGGTGTGGCCACCACACCCAACTTCACTGCACCATTCCAAAGTGAGAAACTTGAGGCAGAAAGACCCAAAAGCAACCTTCTCTGGGGGCAGAGGGGTTGTCAGGGACACCTAGATGCATTTGGGGCTGTCCTGACTCAGGAGCTCCTAAAGCGTTGTGGGTCACAGGTCCTCGGAGATTCTGGTGAAGGCTCTGGACATGCTCCTAACAAGCACACAACACATGTATTGTGCACATGCAAACTTCACACAGGACACATGATCATCAAACATGTGTGGATCCAGATTAGGGACATGCCTCTGCTACCTGTCCCCATCTGAGATGAATTTTTCTCTTTCTGAAATTTAAAATAATTTTTTTCATTTTTACAGTACTGGAGATTGAACCCATGGCCCTGTGCAGCTAGGCCAGTGCTCTCCCACAGCTTGGTCCCCAGACTTGACATTTAAATTTTGTTAATTTGCTAATTTCAATAACTGAAAAGTTTGGAATGATGGATCACTAATTCTTCAAGATCAACGTCCCATACATCTCTGCCTCCTATCTTCCTCACACCCACTCCCTAGTTAACAATAAAAAAAACCACTTTGTGGAAATTCTGAGAATAAATCTCTCTGAAACCCCAAGTTTTTGGTCCCCAGCAGTTCTTAGCACCGCTCAGTGGGTGGCAGAGCCCCGAGGCCATTGGCTATCAACACACATTCATTTGTTCCTTCTATTTTGCAGGTGCCTACTGGCCTAGGGACTCAGAGCACAAGTGTGAACAACTGTGTCCTGAAGAGCCTGGCACACACCTGTAACCCATGCCTTGGGAGGCTGAGGCAGGAGGATCCAGAGTTCAAAATCAGCCTTAGCAACTTAGGGAGACCCTGCCTCAAGATAAAAAGTATAAAGGGGCTGAGGATGTGGCTCAATGGTAGAGCACCCCTGGGCTCATTCCCTGGTACCCGCCTCCCACATGCTGGTGTAAGGACGCTGGCATTTGTGGAGGGGGTGGAAGGGTCAGTGCAAAATTTTGAGCAGGGCCTCTGTGTTGAGAAGAGATTTTAGGAGGCCAAAGGAGAAGCAGGTGGCATGGAGTGTGACAGCTTAGCATTCCTGATGAGAGAGGAAGGAGGGGCGGCAGAGGGGCGAGCAGGGAGCGGCTTCTGCACTGAATCTAACCCAGAGCTGATGTGTCCAATGACACAGTGACTCTAGGGTGAAAGAGAAGGAAGAAAGGGTGACTAAGGGTTTGGGTCTGAGCGGCTGAGGGACGGGGTGCGGTGGACTCAAAGGGGAAGACTGAGGGAGCCTGGGGGCTGGAGGACCCCCCCCACACACACAGACCATGGATGTGCAAGCCCGGATCAGAGGCGGCAGTGGGCACGGGAGGAAGGCGTCCAGGGGCGAGGCGCTGGCCAGAGATGTAACCAAGGGAGCTGTCAGGCACAGGGGGGACTCAAGCCAAGGGACAGAAAAGGTAACATTTAAAAATTAATTCTGGCTCATGTTAATCTCACCCAGAGAGAAGGCTGTAAATACCTCCATTTGGAACTTCAGTTGTGACATGTATTGTCCTATGTTTTGTGGTGCTTGGAGATGGAACCAGGGCCTTGTGCATGACGGGCAAGTGTCTACCACTGCGCCATGCCCCCAGTCTCCAGTTGCCATGTATAAAATTGGTACA